CTAACTAACTAACTAACTAACTAACTAACTAACTAACTAACTAACTAACTAACTAACTAACTAACTAACTAACTAACTAACTAACTAACTAACTATACCCACCCACTCATTTATCTAGTCACTTCTCTAAGACACTGAGCTCATATTTCTAACTTCAACACAACCACAGCTCCTTCTTTATCTTAACAGGTGGTCATATGGCGCCCCCTCCCCTTATCCCACAACTCAGTTACTATATTTTTGCCCTCTGCTCAAGACTCCCCTCATCCTCACCCCCCACTACTCTTATTCCTGCTCTTCTGGCAGRTCCATGGTTTGTGTATGTGGGTTGTACCCTTCTAGATTGCACCTCTGACAAACTCCCACCCCCTTTCCCTTTAGCAAGGGACATCCGGAAACCATGTGATAGTCTTTTTATAAAGACAGTATCAATGTCAGACCTGCTCTTCTCGAGCCGGTTGTGACGGAAAGTGGAATAACCTTCCTACCTCTTCCAGCTTGAAACTACTTGGGACAACATAAAAGAGAAATAAGTTTATTTTTGGACAATTCTACATTCAAAAGGCCTCGAGAAGAGGTGTTTGGGGAGCTAGCAGTCGACAGAAATCATGAAGTGGGGGTGGGTGTTTTTGGGTGTCTTCCTCTCTTTGYGGAGCCTGTCTTGGGCGGAGAAGGGCTTGGAGATCCCTGAGTATGATGGCAAAGACCGAGTTCATGCCCTCACAGCCAAAAATTACAAGTCCATCATGAAGAAGTATGACGTGATGGTGATCTACTACCATAAAAACGTGGACGGGAATCGAGGGGCTACGAAACAGTTTCAAATAGAGGAGATGGCTTTGGAGGTGGGTCAGTGTTGTACACATGACAATGAATGATGCGTGTGTGGAATTAAATAAGGCTGATGAGACACAGATAGAAATATAATTTAGCTKCAAATTGAAATTCCTGGACTCGTGTGCAGCTGACTCTAACTTAGTTTAGTGATTTGATTAATAAACCTGTTACGATGGGGTAATGTAAACAAGGGAACAAAATGAGACAAAGCACTGACTTTGCATGGTGCAAAATGGCGATCGACACTTGTGACGTRACACATTTCATAACATACATCAATCATTATGCGTACATTATCTGCCACTCTCTTGAATGAGTGTACAATTGGCATAGATTCTACAGACTTTCAATGATAAACAGAAAAAGACTGACATGTAAAACTTCAGGAATCAGGATAGTTCAGATAAAAATTTGTCTGGAAGGTTGAGGTCTTTGACCGTCATGGAAAGCGAGCAGATTTGTTAAAAATGTTGGTGTTTTTACCATGTCATAGTCTAGCTTGCTGCATCCATTGTGTGTCTGTGTGTGCATTTTTATCACTTGAAACATTGATTTTGCATTGTTCAAAGAAGGGTAACAATGGTGATGTTTAAAAWTTATGCAAGTAGTAATATTATCACCTTGTGTGARTGACTGCAGTAGATCGCTGTATGGATGCTCTGAGTAAAGCTAGCAATAGACAATAGAAAAACAATATAAGGTTTACTGTACCTGTTTAGGGACAGAAAGGATCAGGGTAGCTGTATCCTGACTCACTGTTACAAGTACTTTAGCACAATGTTTTGTGGTCCTCCTGGTTGAATTTGATGCAGTTTTCCTGAATTTCTTTGTTTGAACACAGCTAAACCGGTGCACTATGACTGAAATAATTTGAGCCACTATGACAGTTTGMACATGGATGGGTGTTGAGTGGATGTGGTCATGTGACTAGTGTTAAAAAAATAGCCTGAGTGGAGATCATCTTCAATTTAAAAAATGTTTGATCTTTTTTTAGGGGATTCTTAAGCCTGGGTTATATCTCATGAGAAGTGAGACACTGTGTCACACTGATGTGTTTGCATGACAAAAATTGTGTATTTATTTTCTTGCACCTCATGCAGAAACCACGTCTTGTGCAGTAACCCCAGTCAGAACTAGTTTTTTACWGGGTATGRGCCAAGTTTTGTGTATTTGGTCAAATATTTGAAGTATACAGAAAGTCAAATAAATTGTGGAACGTGACTGGACAATTTTTGRGTATAGAGGAGACAGCGTGGAGACACAGGCGGCTCTCCACGGCTGTGCTGACCGGGATGAAGTGCGTCTTGGATGGGCAGCATAGGGRTGTGTTGTGGTACTGTCTGTCTGAAACAGTGCTTCTCCTTAAATAACAACAGGAATACTAGATTTTCCTCCTCCGACTCCTGAAAATAAACGTCTACTCTGCCAACCATGCAAGTTCTGATYTCTTATGCCTTGTCAAGTATACTGTATTAAGATCTTTACAGTCTTAATTTAGAGACAAGTTTATAAAGGTGCAAAGGTGAGAGTGTATCYTTTGAACTTGCATCATGTGTCTGAAAATAGAAAATGTCAAGTCACTGCATGCATCTGTTGGGTTTGAGAGTGTGTTGTTGCTGAAACATATTGTTAGCCTCATAACATATAGGCCTAAGTCATTTGTTACCAAATATGTCTTGGGAAATTATGCTATGAGGCTAACAATATATAATACTGAAGAAACTTTTCAACTACATTTTTTTAGGTGAATCCATATGATTATCTATTTCCATGACTCTACTTGAATGTGCTTTAACAAACTTTAATGTAGTTGAGCGGTTTGAGTATCACTATGATTCTGTTTTGTCTGGCATGTCAGGCCCACGTACAGTCTCCCATGAAAAGTTCCTATCAGAGGAGACAATTAGACCAAAAACAATTCAGAGAACTTGTAGATTTTTCATTAAAYAAGCATCAATAAAGTAATTTTAAATCTGTTTATTGGAAAACTGAAGCGATGCATTCTGGGTACYTGACGGATTTGATTTGTGACGGGAAACAAAAGCACGCAGCACAGGAAACTATCTTCCCTTCAAAAGAAGAGGTTGGATTTTAAAGTTTTCCATGTAGTTGCTCCAGTTGACCACTAGATGTCTGTCTTTACCAGCATAACATCTTTAAATCATTTCTGCATCCCTTCAGCTAACCCCGTTGGCCGATTGCTTCGATCAATTACGTCAAGTATTGAGCTCCCGCGTAAACTTTATTTATTATTTTTTTAAAAAGGAGCTCCGATTGTAAAGTAAAATAAATCAATACATACAAAATTTTAGTATGGATTACAAACTTTAACTGTTTTCGCTATTGCCTTCCTGCTACGTAAGCAGACACAAATCATTGTGGGAAATCAGAACCCTGACCGAGAGCAACAGTCAGCAGGATGTATACCTTTCCAATCAGTGTGTTTATCTGTGGGGAGTGCTGTTGGACAGATCACGTGTGTTGTGTTCATTGACAGCCATACCTTCCACTGTTCAAGATAATGATGACTGGTAGATAATTAGTTATTAGCGGTATTGCATCTTAATTTTAGAAAGTGCAAATCCGCTTATGAATTGTAAATATTAGTAAGACTGCTAAAGAGCAAATAAAATTTTTAMGTCCGCAATTAGTGATTTGCGCTTTAGCGGACTGGTGCCCACCACTGTAAGTAACAATAAAATGTTAGTGGAAATTTTTTAATTTTTTATTTCCACGTGTCAAAGCAAGAAAACTGCTACAATGAAAAATAGGGTTGAAAACCTTTGTGTTAGACCTCTGGGCTAAACTGGGGATTCATTTGGTATTTTATTCCAAATTAAAACTTTTTTTGATTGTAGCTTCTTATCAATTATTCTTTATTATGTGGTGCCTGATATTTTACAGCCTAATTAAGGACTAGACTAAGCTAACTTGGACCAAAATAGAAATCAGATTGTAATGAGTCAATTAGGCTTTCCWCTTCAGTAGCTATTGCTTTGGTGCCTCTGAGCCAGCCACTCTGAGATTACTCAGAACTGCTGCTCAGCAGGCGACAATATTGCAGTAGAAATCTTCGTGGTTCTAACAAACTCACTGGATAAATAAATCCTAAACACATCTTCACCATCAGCCCATAGCTGATGCATCATGGCCTTGCAGTCAAACAGCATTTCTACCACAGCAACCATCTGCCTCTCAGAACTGCAGTGTCTTCTTACAGAGGCACAGAGTACTTTTACACTGGCCTGCATAAGTCACCTCTGTAAATAGCCCAGGACAGCCCTACATGCTGAGCAAGAGGCTAAAAGCTCTCGTGGGGGAAGAGAGAAAGTTTAGGGCCATATTTCACACCAACTACCACACCTGCCTCAGCTACTGTACACAGTACTACATACCCCTCTGGGTGCCGGCAGAAGTCCTAAACCATCATTTACACTCACAGAGTCATTGGATCTGATCAATTTCTTAAGATTGCTGCCAAGTGCTAGTTCTTGGCTTGAGCTAGAGAGAGAAAGAGGGAGAGATTCTCACAGCAGCAGGCTTGCTCTGTTACTCAGCGAGAGCACTCGGGCTGTTCAGAGGAGATGCTTAAAATAGCTGCTCATTACCACCTTTAAATCTGGAAGCATACATGAATTATTAAAGTGCAGAGCTTGGGGATCCAATAATTTWTTAGCTTTCTTGAAGTCTTACGCTGGCGTTTCATCATTTGCCACCACTGTCTGCTCTGTCTCAGCATTAAATTCACGAACCAAGCAGGATTAATGACGAACATGTCCGTCAAGTTTARCAGGTGTGAGCAATTAGCAGTCTTTTCACAATGAATTACAGTGACCTCACAGCACAAAGTTAACATGATAGAAACATCAAAGGAAAAAGAAAAATATCAAGTCTTGAATATACTACTCCAGATATATTTTTAAACATTTTGTTTTCATTTGATGTTTTTTTTGTCCCCACAGGGAACAAAATTGCGGAAATACCCATGTCACACCACTAGGTGGCGATAATGTTGATGTCAATGAGATGTCAAAAATACAACAAAAGATACTCGAAACATATGTAACTGGTGTTATTTTTACCAATGTTTACATTTTTTGGACTAACTTTTTCAGGATGTTTGTGGTTTTAGGGTGACACTCGGGTCAAAGTCGACAGACTCACTGCAGGTTTTAATGCTCACCAATAGTTTCCTTAAATCATATTTTCTTTGCATGTTCATTCATGTTCTAATTCAAATGCAACAGTCATCAATCTCCAGTGGGAAAGCTTTAGCGCCCTCAAGTTACCCGTTCGCACAGAAGAGGTGACGTTACACACAACTCGCAGATTTTGCAGAAGTACAGTATATATGGATGCTATATATTAGCATATTAGCATGTGTGGATAAATTTTGAAGTTGTGCAATCAAAATTGCTTAAAATTATTACCTAATAWGCTTATTTCATCCAGTGTTTTTATTTGGTCTCACGACTTCATTCCGATGTAGGATTGCGCTTTTGGAACAGGAGCGACTGAAAGTAAAAACAAACTCAAGCATTAATCCCATCACTCTAGCCTGAATACACTTCCTTTCTTGTCTCATTTTATCTTGATTTTGTTGCTCTTAAACTTTGGTTGTGTATAGATAATAGTAATAACTGTCAGAAAACTATAAATGATGTTAAAAAAGGAAACATTTGTAACTGTTTTGGAAAACTCTTTAGCCAAACTTAGAATGTTCTCTTTGTATTTTTAGATGTCAATAATGCCAGTGTCTTCAATTTCTTTTGGCACAACATGGGCATTTAAGCATTTTTGCTTTATGTACTGCTTATTGCCTGGACACACACACACACACACACACACACACACACACACAC